AACAGCCCTGCCTTTTCAGTGAGAAGGAGTAGGACTGAAAATAGGAACATTTCTTTTGCTGTAGAGTGCAGTGCCATTTTTATGAAGGTGTCAAATGTTAGCGTTCCCTGAGGGGGATGAGCTGCAGCCACTCAGACCTGCGGCTGAAAAGCAAGAATGAAAGACAGCCTTAATCTGTCAAAGGGGTGACTCTTCAGTGCCTGTGCAGTGGAGATCCAGTGGGGAGAGCTGATTGCCTGGTGAAACAGACTGCTGACAGCACTTCAGCACTGCAGACATGACAGTGGTCACAGCACCATGTAGAGACTCCACACCATGGGATTGCCAGCCTTGAGACAAAGGCTTCTCTTCACATACAGAGTGTGTGCCCTTGTTTCTGATACTTAGTTATAAGATCCAGAAAAACACTGAATTTCATATAATATGAAATTCATGAGCATGTTTTCATGGTGATACATGAAAACAAATGTTAAAGTTAGATAGAAAAAGCTAAAACCGTAAGTGTGTAAATTAGAAAGTTTTTTTAATCACTGGGTTAGAAAAAGTTAGTTTAGAGAACAGGAGACAAGATGGAGGATTTAGGGTGCTGTCCCTTGTCCCTTCTTCTTTCTTCTTCATGTTCTTCTCCTAGAAGTTTTTGAGTAATAGTAAGTGATTAGATAGAAAATGACGCAGTGCATCACAGAGGTGATGGGTCATTGAGTCATTAAGAAAAATAATATACGTGTCTACTGTTAATTGAGTAAAAATAAGTATAAAGATAAAAGAACTGCGTAGTTCAGGGCCATTTTGTGCATCAGACATGAAGTGTGCCACAAGGCCTTGTTTGTACCATCAGAAGAAAGAAATGTACCAGATTGCAAAGATTAACCTTTTATAAACAGCCTGGAGAGACCTGTTAAGTTTTGTGATCGCCTGTTAATAAACACAAGAAACAAGATTTTACCGAGCTCAAGAGTTTTCTTCGAACCAGAACTGAGATAAGCAGGGCTCCCCACGAGGGAGGATCCCAAAAAAATTCAGTCCAAAAGAAGCTGAGAAATCCAAGAATATACAGAAAATTACAGAAGAGATGTAGCAAAAACAGAAAAACAGAAAAAAGATTTTTTAGAGAAAAGTTACAGTTACCACTGTCTTGACAGCTACAGGACCTAGCTACACAGCTTCTAGGTGAGTATCCCAGTGACCCTGGGAACAAATCTCTGCCCTAACAAATAGTAAAACACCTCCCTTGTCCAGGGAATTTCTATTTTTTTCATCAAAAATGAAGTCTAGAGTACTCTGCAGACTAGGGAGACTAGAATGAGTGAAGGGCTAATGAGATGGTGAGATTACATAGGACAAAACACTCATTAAATACAGGTGGGAGCGATGGGATTTCAAGACATCCTTTTCAAAGCTTTGTCATTGTAGGGTTTTTGTTTGTTTGTTTTTCAAGGGTTTTTTGCTTTATTAACACCCAGATAATATCAATTATTAATTAAGAGGTGAAACTAGGAACCTTTTGTAAAAAAATCCAGTCTTCCCTGCTTTTCACTCAAATAGCTAAATGCTCCTGAGACTTCCTCTTCTACTCCAGGAAACCCAAAAGACCAGAATTGCTCCATACAAACTTTTTTTGTCTGCCTTCTGCCTCTCCTTCCCCTCTACCTGCTAATAACAATGCTACAATATATGGTCTCTTTCTCAAAATTGATAATTCACTTCAGACCATCCTAAATCAAATAGATGTTATCCACAGCAGTCTTGGTGTGCATTTTTTGTTACAAAATGGGAAATGGTCAAACCCATATTTAATAGAGAAACATGAATTTGGAGGGATTATTTTACTCTATTGATTGGATGGTGATCTATAGCAGAGTTGGAAAGGAAACAGGTTTTTTGATTAAAGCTTTCCAGGGAAAAAGAGGTGATTTATTTACTTGTGAATGAACAGTGTCCCAATCTTAGGAGTCTAAACTCTTCTTCCAAATAACTAGTGTAGAGAAAAGGTATCATTCCCATATTGCAGGATGACAAGATAATGTTCTTGATGAGAGAGACTTTCTTTCAGAGTATCCAGAAATGAGGATATTTGTCTGGGCACAGTTGACTTAGCCAGCTACAGGGTCCCAGTTGGGATGTGTGCTCCACCTTGGGCTCATAGGCACTCCAGCTGTAAGTACATCCCCTTCTTGGGCCCTTATGAGGAGTTGTTCAGCAGCAGATGAAAGCAGTTGATATGATGACCACTCTCTCTTCGTGCTTTCCACACTTTTTTGTATTCAGTATGCTCAGGGTATATGTGTGACAATGAGCTGCAAAGTTAAATAAGTAGGAGGAGGCAAAACTTGTGAATTCCAGTAAGACTTAGTCGTGAGTTACTCCCTGGACAGCACTGTCATTTGGATGTCTACCTGCCAGCAAAAAATATGTTCAGATTTAGAATCCTTTATTAGAAAATCAGATTCAGAAGAACCTACATTGTCAAATGACAAGCTGTGAGCAATAGTGGTGCCTGGCAGCCAAGTTTTGATGCTGACAGAGACATTTAGGCTAACTCTAGGCAGCCTTTATGAGCCATGAAGGGAGCCTCCCATCAGCTGGTGAGGGAGCTCACGCCTTTTATGATCAGCCCCTGAGGAGAAGAGTGACTTCTCAGCAAAACTCAGAACAAACCTTGTTGAGGTATCAGTTCCAGAGTCCTTCATATTCACTCACCAGTGCTCCCCTGAACTTCACTCCTCACCATCTGTGCTGGACTCTGCACTAGGTCACACCAGAGCACACCAAAAAAAGGCAGCACACCTTCTCACACATTAGCTCCCTGGCAAAGCTAATCCTCAACTATTTCCTGCCCCACTTGCACCTGCAAAATTTTGCAACATGATAGCAGAAGATCTTCCCTGGGTTGGCCTCAGCCTGGAAGAGCCTGGGGCAAGCCTAAATGAGGAGTACCATCGGATAGGGTCTAACTGCAGCTCACAGATCTCCAGACCTCCTTTTCTTCTAGCTTTCCTGAACACATCCCCACTTGCTAAACAATCTCAGTTCTGACTGCAGCCTATGGTGGTCTTTTACCCTGTGCAGGGAAGATTTGGGGTTATACACCATTGTCTGGTACCATTGGGATTAACCATGTGAAACTGCCAACTTAGAATGCAAAGTTTAGAAGAATGGAACACCATGCCTAAGGTGACTGGATGGGAGCTGAGAGCCTCAATGGAGCAACATTACCATGTTTAGAAGTCACCACGTTTAAAAGTCACTCCCATGGAAAAGGTATCAGATGATGCAGTCTTAATGGATATAAAAATAGAAAAAATTACATCGTAGTCACACAGATGATAGATGTTTTCAATGCCACTCTGAAGACTCTGTATCCACACTGCACAGAAAAGATTACCTATTTTTGGGCAGGAGCTGCTGATATGCTCCATACTGCCGTCAGTGGGCCATAGCAAGACAGTGCTAAACAATTTCTACAAGTCTGTTCACAAGGACCTGCCTCTCAGATGGGAGGCAAGTGTTACTGACATCTGAGCAAGTGTAGTTACCCCAACAACAAATGATCCTGAGCCTGGCTCACCCAGCAGCAGCTCTCATTTGCTCCCAGAGGTCTGGTTTCCCTCTGGAGCACCATCTCATCAGAGTCAGGAGGGAGAAAGATCCAATGGTGAGGATGCACTCCCTCTGGTTCCTCCTATTTAGTGCTGAGGGGTGAGGACATGGAGATGGCAACTGGACTCCCTGGTCTGTTGGGCTTGAGACAGAGCCCCAGGCCCAGACTAGATAGACATTGAACATGGTACAGGAGCAGTGGTACTGTGAAGACCTCCTCATCAAAGAGTGAGTGCTGCTTGCACATTTGTGTAAAGATGCATTGAACCTTTTGTTGGAAAAGGTTGCATTAAACTTCTGAAATGCAATCTGACACAGCTCATCACAATGGTTGTACCTTGTGCCAAACTGTTTTGCCATCTTGTAGGAGATGATGGAGTCCTGAGGGCATCTGGGATGCCTCTGAGCTGTCAGCCCCAGCTTGCCCCTCTGTGCCCCTGCAACATGCTAGTTGTTGTTAGTATACCAGTTCAAGATAAGACAAATGTGTTTAAAGAAGGAGTCTTGACAGCCCACAAGAACTGTGTTTTTATCTCAGGAAAGCAGTGGTGTCTTATGCATACATAGGATGTGGGGGAGCCCACAGCTTACACAGATAATGTTGGAAGACTTGTGGGCAGAGCACTGAACCCTTGCACAGTTCCAGATCCCCACTGGCTATGTAGAGCAGATCCTGGAGCAAAGTCCTCACCCTGCAAAGACAAGGAAGCTGAGGAAGCTGGGGCTGTTCAGTCTGGAGAAGAGAAGATTGCACAGGGATCTCCTAACAACCTTCCAGTATCTGAAGGGGCCTACAGGGAAGCCAGAGTGGGGCTCTTTAGCAGGAACTGTAGAAATAGGACAAGGTGTAATGGGTGCAAACTGAAAGAGGGGAAATTTATATTACATATTAGGAAGAAATTTTTCCTTGTAAGGGTGAAGAGACACTGGAGCAGGATCCCCAGGGAGGTTGTGGATGCCCCAGTCCTGGCAGTGTTCAGGTTGGATGAGGCTCTGAGTAACTTGGGGAGGTGCCCCTGCCCCTGGCAGAAGGGTTGGGAGTGGATGATTTTTAAGGTCCATTCCAAGCCCTTGACATCTTATGATGCTACAATTCTGTTCATCAGCTCTGGGTTCCCTCTTGAGAGGAATTAGTTAGCCCATGACTCAAAGCTCAGGAGTTAACTAGCACAATTGCAGTGCTGGTCGAGATCCACAGGAACCCATGGAGAAGAACTTAGTTTCCTTCCTCTCCCTTGGAAATCTGGAGCACCCAGTCCCTCACACAGCCCTAACAAGCTGGCAATGCTATAATTGGAAAAAGTTTATTCCTGCTTTGAACATTCTTGTGTGAGGGGTGGGATGGAAATATTTTTTTTAACAGTGATCCCAAGACATTGCACATATATGGTCTCCTTGTCCTGGCGAGTTAGAGGAATAGCTGCCCTGCTCTGTGCTCAGCTGGGGATTTCCAGAAGGATGAGAGCTTTCCTTCCTGTCTCTCTGATGAGTCCACCCGGTGAGTTCACTAATTCCCCCCTTACTCTGCTGTAATCCTGCACATTTGAACCAAGGGCACTCATTGCAGAACTTAACCAACTAACAGTCCAGGTTTTCTGGAACTTGATTAAATTCCCAGAAATCCAGGTGGCTGGCATAGCGTGACTAAACATGCCACTAACCACAGACCCTCCTCGGGGGCACTTCCCATCCCCTGCTTCTTATTTTCCTATAATTAATCCCCCTATCTAATTTCTTCCCATTTTTTAACTCACAGAGTTGAGAGCTTCTTAGTAACTGTACCTGAAGGCTGTGCAATGCTGTACAGCAAGCTGCTTTTCTCTCATGTTAACTTTAACAGCCTCTTGCACTCAACAAGCTGTTTTCTGACACTATAGGCTGTATTTGTTATACTGAAGGATATTATTTAGAACCACATACTGCATGTGCAAACAATTACATTTTAAAATAAATCAGGTACAAGGTAAACAAATGTAAGAGCAGTATTATTTAATTTTATTTTTTTATAGATTAAAGCCTATATAGGAAATTGTATTTCTGATTTAGAGACTTGTAGTAAAACTCAACTGCTGGGTAGGAAGTGCATGTGGAACTTCCTGAGTAATAACTGGGCCAGTTTACCAGCATGATTAGAAAGGGTCATAGTATTTTATCAAAACTGAGATCTTGATCAGATGGTACTCATTAGTTTTAATGCATAAATTACAAATATTTTTCTTTAGGTGAAGTGAGCAGAACTTTGCTAAATTACTTTCTCTTTGTTTCTGGTATAAACCACATCTTGGTCTAGGCTGATTACAACTAAGGTGAAAGTATTGTATGCAACACCATTGATACCTGCAGCAGGCACCTTTCACCGCAGAAAGACAGTGAGACAGAAATGCTGTTCTCTGGCGCACCAGAGGAGATACTGCATTACCACAATCACTGTGAAGTGGCAAATGTTATTTTAATGACGCCCAGCTTGGTAGTTTCCCAAGGGTGAAATCAATATCTTGATGGTTAAACTGAAGCGACCATTATATTAGTGAGAACATATGTATGACCTCATTGACAGCACTCAGAACATTGAGCTGAGAGAGGGCAATCTCCTTCTTGAAAGGCTGCAGACGTCCAAATCCATCTGCAATATAGAGAAGACGTGTTCATTTAGATAATGCTAGAAAACAGCAATAAAGTAGACATAGCTAAATGTTCATTATAGGCGAGGTTCCTTCTGCTGCTTTTGAGCTTAAGCAGTAAAAGGTCATACTATCTCTAATTGAATTGCTTTGTATTGTTTCAATCTACATAATGCACTGTTTACAAATAGAGCATCATCTTAAGCACTTTGTGCCATGTGGCCAAACATTGAAATTTTGCTCTTCGTTGTACTTATGCATTTTGTAATTAAGTAATTAAGTAATTTCTGTGGCATCAGAAAACCGTTGGTCCTTTTAGAGATTTATGCTACCATGAATGGACTGTTTGTATTTAGTGTATCTTCATTTCACAATCTTTTATTTCTAAAATATGAAACTTGGATAAAAATTAAATAAACATCCCCCCCCAAAGCAAACACACAGCCAAACCCACAAACAAAACCTAAATACACACACACAAAGAAGCAGAAACAACAAACAAAACCCAAACCAAACAAATAACCAACAAAACAGACAGAAGGAAGGAAATGCACTCAGACATGAAGTGCACATCACAAAAATTTTGTGGATTTTTAAGAATAAGCAATATTGTTAAGAAATGAGAGAAGGTATAAATGAATATATAGAGAGCTATTTCATAATTGCACTTCTGTACCTTTATTGGCTGAATGGTGACTGTCATCCAATCACAGCAGTGCCAATACAGGGTTCACATACAGGACACAGTAGGTATTATTCTGGTTTGCTGAATTTAATGCAATACTCCTTATCAAAATCATCCACTGCAGGCTTCAGTTGCAAACAACTGGCAAGAAAATACAGGTAAGCATTCAGGTGAACTGCTGTAAGACTTTTCATATGCAAACTTTTTAATAGAGCATTTCTAATCACAGGCAATATATGAAGTGAGAATACGGAAGCTGGAAATGGAGTTGGTATATGAAAAATATTTGTGGCATTACTTGAATTCCAGTACCTATTCAACTATCGGTAACAGGCATGAAATATCATCCAAAAAATAATTTAAAGAAAACATTTCTTCCACGTGACTTTTCCACTGCACCGTGCTTAAAATGCATGTTTTGTATATCATTTGCATGGTTATCTAAAAACCACTCTCTTCTTGACAGCCAGGACTTTGACATGTGGAAGGCAGCTCAGCCTATCTTGGTAAGAACTTAAAATTCAAGTCACTTTGACTTTAAGACAAATGCACTTCATCTGCAAGTGTATGTGTGTACTTCATTGAGCGCTCATTAAATTCAAGTAGCTGCCTAGTAATAGTAAAAATAAAATGATAATACAGAACTTCCATAGCAAATACCAGTGGTTCTCTGAGCAGCAAAGAAACCAAATACTGTATTAAACTTTAAGTAAGCAAGAACCAACCTGAATCATTTGGATGATCAGGGAAATTAGGAAAGACTATTCCATTCTATCTAGCTTACTAATGAGGTACAATTGATAAAAAGCTGAGAGGCTTTTTTTAATCTAAAATACTTTTCCACTGAAAATGTCTTCTTTTTTTCTTTATTTTCTCCTTGAGTTTTTGTTGTTGTTGTTTTGTTTGTTTGTTTGTTTGTAGTTTTTTTTCCTTAGAAGCATAAGTTCTAGGAAAATTCAGCAGGAGGAAAACAATTTCAAAAAAATTTGATAATCCTTCAAATAATATTTTCAAGGCAGAATTTGTTTGGAATGCAACAAATTTGTTAACTGAAGATTTTTAAATCTTTTTATTGCTTTGTTTCTCTATATCTTCACGAGGTCAGTAGTTGTATATGCTCTTACACAACAGAGCACATATGCAAGTAAATTAAAAGACACATGATATAGAAAAAAATAAACACTGTACTCAAAAATATTTAACTTAGGCTTCACGTGTTAGAAAAAATTTGAACATATTTGTTTTTCTAAACAGAAAAGAAAATTAATTTTCATTTAGAAGTTTCTAAGAAAAAGTAACTGAATTTCCATCACTCTCATTTAAGCTGTTCCAAGAGGTCAGCACATTCACTGGCTCTTGCTTTGTTGGTAACACAAGCCCACATGGAAGAAAAGAGCAATGTCTGAAATCTTGTTGTGTTTGAAAATTCATGTATATTCAGTCACCTCTGACTGTCATACTCACTTTCCACAAGCACTCATGTGCCTTAAGTGTTAGTGTCATGAATACTGAGGAACCAGATGGCCACACTAACCACCACTCACTTAAATGTCAGAAAGGTCAGTTACAACTGAAGCGCTTGTAAATAGGGAAGTCATCTCCAAAACTGTGTTTCTTAGCACTCAGAGGGATTTTCTGTAGATCTGATGGCTTTATACAGTTGGCAGTTTTGTGAGCCGTCTGGTCCCCACAAAACAGCATGTGGGCTTGTTGGGCAATGACAAAATGATGGCAAACATTAGCTGAGTGGGTGTGGGTGACAGGCAGTAAGTGTCTGCAGGGAAGATTGGCACAAGTGTACCTGGCAGATCTACTGTAATTAATGTTTAAAAAAATCATCAAACTATTTAATCTGTAAGATGCACATGAGCAGGAAAAATCTGAAGTCTTTTCCTCTCTCCCCCTCAGCTGAAGCCCCGGTACATGTCAAGGGAGAAGAAATATTTTTATTGAAGTACAATAGTCACAACTTGAACAATCTGTTCTTGCTGTATATTTGAAGTTTACATTCTCCCCTCTGAAATTAGTGGATTAGAAAGTGGAACACCACGTATAAACTATTTTTGATGTGAATAGTTTTGCAATGCTAAATAAGCCTATCGATGACTCCCTGGATGAAACAGCTGAAATTAGTTTTCAATATATTTCAGTCTACTCCATTATATATTGTCTCATTAAGCAATATGACTTCTGAGATCTTCGTGTGTTAATAAATACATGCAAAGAAAAAACCCACTCCCACTGCAGCAGGTTGTCCCTGGTGCAGGAGCTGTAGCACCACTTTATTCACTGTTACTTTCCTCACATTTATTTCCTACCTGTAATGCCACTCTAACATTTTTAACATACAAGAGGTCAGGCTTGAAAATATCATCTCTTACAGTACTCTGTGTGTCTTCCAGTGCACAGCCATTCCTTTTGCATGCCAGAACCTCAATCTTTATCTTGATCAAGCAGCACTTGTGTGATTTCCTGTACCTTTGTCAGCTGCAAGTGTTTAGGAAAGAAAACACAGTTGGCATTCTAGGTGATGCCTTTTTCTGGTCTAAAAATTTGAGAGCCAGACACAGTTAAAGGTTAAAGTGGTTTTTCCTCGGTGTTTAATAAGGATCCTTATGGTGCACCACTTCACCAAGGTGGAATGTGCTGAAATGCACACCCACAATAGACCACATATACAATTTATAGACCTTACAAATTAGCATATCTAACAAAGCTGCCCTAATGAGATGCTTGGATGAATAGCATGATATCCCTCCATCCCAAGGATTCCTGCCTGGAATGGGGGGAATGGATGGGCCAAACCTCTAGTTTACAGGATCTATTCCAGAGGGGGCTTCAGTTTCTCAAGGTAGTGTAGGGTTTTCCAGCCTCCAACTGCGAGGCCTTTAGGATGTTTGGTCTCCTGGCCTTACAGAATACTAGGGCTATGCAAAGATATCAGTCTTAAGGAATTACAAGTTTGCTAAGAGTACTGAGGATATTGACATAAAAGGTACATAAAAGAAAAGGCAAAAAATCATCTTGGCATCATAAGGAGAATGATACATAGCATAGCAGTGTCTCCGGCAGCTGTGATGGCTCTGGGGGGAGGACTTACTAAAGCCTGTTGTAAACCAGTTAGTTGTCCTTGCAAGCGTGATATGGGAGTGAGATACAGCCATCAGACAAACTTTTTTATGGAGTAGTTTTCCACACTGGAAGCAGACGTATCAGACAAGTAAAACTTACCCAAACTGATGTGGACACCAATAAAACACTGAACCATGCTATGGAAAACACTCCCATGAGAGTTGTAAATAGTCGAGTCTCCATTTCAGTGGGCTTATCCCTTTTAATGATTATGAGCAGTAAAAATACAAAATGCCAGCCTTCTCTGCCTTGTGCATAGTTCCATCTCCAAAGGCAGGAACCATTGGTCAATAATCAGACAATCCCAATCAGACAATTGCAACAATCCCAAGACTGATCCCATTTTTGCTTCCCACCTGAGAAAAGTTACTTTAATACTCAGGAAGACCCAATATTGCAGGATTGGGGCTAAATGCAGAATTCAAACTTCTCTCACACACACGAAATCTGTAAAAAAAATCTACAAAAATCTGTAAAAAAACTGTAAAGATGACGTTTTTGTGCCCATTGTTTCTTGACACTGTCTGGTAGCCAGTGATTGACTCCTGACTTCAAGCCTCCTTATTCTAGGGGTATTTTTAATATACTTGCACTCTGATTCAGCATACTGTGAGGACCATACCCATAATTTGTTCCTTATTGCACCTAAAATGTTCAAGATAATAATGCATTGCATCTAGGAATGGCTGCTGCCTTTTTTGTCTTGAAAATAAGATACATACTGATTACCAAGTTTGAAAAGCTATTGGAACCAAGTAATAAATCAATGGAGAATTTTGTTCACCTCTGTGAACAAAATCACCAAAGCTACTGGACATGAGAGCATTCCAAAGGGATAAGTTGCTCATCAGTCTGTCCAGCTGTCCCAGTTACCAAAGTGCTCACAACAAGTTTCAAACAACAAACTTCAAATATATATTGAGGTGTCAGCTTGACCCAGTCTTAATGTTTTGCTGCCCTGTTTGCAGCTCCTCAACTAAAAACTCAAGCTTTATCAGATATTGAGAGCAATATATGGACAGAAAGACACCATTAAACTGTCAAAATTTCCTTGCCATTAGCAAAATTCAATGGCAGGGTAAGGACTGAACAGAGAAGAAAAGGGAGGAAGATCAGGGGCAGTGTGCATTTCCATACAGAATAATTCTGCTCCTTAGCAACCCCACAAGGAAAGAAAACACTGGGGAAAAAAAAAAACAACAACTCAAATCTATTGTTTAAAATTTGCTTCTTCTGCTAATGCAGACTTTAAGATTTCATTTTCATGACAAGTTCTATGAAACTTTAATAGCTGTGGAATGTTCTTATAAATGTACTTGGCTACAACTGGACTTTATATTGCATGCAGAACAGGAGATTAAAATCTGTTAAGAGTTATTTTTGCTCCTCAGTGTATCATGTGAGAAGCAAATACAGTAAAATTACGTCAAGGCAGGTGATTTGCTTGAAAAACCAGTGTCATGTTTATTGAAAAACTGAAAAAAAACCATAATTTGCCAGAAGAATTTCTGTTAATGAATGAGGGTGGGAACTGGGTAGCATGAGCTTAAGCAGTAACCAAGGACTAAGATGAATTTAAGGATCCTGATGAGAAAATAGTTAGCAAACAGCTGTTAAGTTGGCAAAAATAACAGTACAAAAAAACCCCCACCAAACATAAAAGGTGCCAAGTACAAGTCATGGTCTGGACAAGCCTTGCTCCAAAGATTGAATGGAACAAGAAGTTAATGAAACAACAAAGCGTTGGGTAAATGCCTCAGTCAAGATACTTACAGCAGACATTACTCATCAACTCTCTTTTAATAAAAAATGGCAATAACCTCCCAATGACCTCTACAAGGGGTTATAGTCCAGTGACCTCTGCAGTTCAGAATGGCTTTTGCTTGTGCAAATCTGCAAATTCACACATATGCAAAATCACAGTTGGTGGAAAATTTAGTTTTCTTTTCTAATCATTTTCCACTGCACTAGACTTTGATATTTTTGAAAGGAGGACCACATCCTGTTCACACCATACAGAGCTTGACACCTTCAGTGTGACTGAGGTACCTCAGCCAAGCTAGAGACCAGACAAGGTAGCACACACACAGGAGGGGACAAGCAACAACACTGTTTCCACATTGAGTATCATGACCCTCCTGACAGTTCTGTTCTGAGCCAGCATCAGTCTTTAGGGATGATCCAGGAAAGAATGGACTACTAGGACTGAACAACCATGTCTAGTGTCTAATGGACCTTCAGAAGATAAATGTGTCTGCCTGAGGAGTCCCTGCACAACCTTCTTGAGGTTGTTAACTCATTAACTCATTAACTCATTTCTAGTTCTACATAAACAGCATAGTCAGGTTACTTCAATAGGGCTGCTCCATTTTCATATATAAAGCTACAGAATCCAAATAATGCTGCTTGCATTGGGTGGGCTGGACCCCCAGCCAAAATGTAAGCATGAGGGTTTCTTTTCTGTGAGTTTTGAAGGTCATATATCATACACATTGCAGAGTCCTGGTTATAAAAATGTGTGGTAGGGTGATAATAGTATTCTGGAACTGCTTTACTTAAAACAATTAAAGAACATTGGTAGTTAAGGCTCTTGTGTTGTGTGTAGAGGCAGGATGTCATCTCTGCCATTCTGTTTCTGACTATCCTCCAGAACAGTCACCAATTACAAATATGTAATCCACATATTGTACATATGTAAGCATATGTAAGCAACAGTTATGACAAGGTGGTGCTTCTTAAACACAAAACCACCTTTACAAGTGGACACCAAAGCTGCTGATTTATTCTAATTGGCCCCAACAGACATCTGCTTCCCAGCTGCAGCTGAGAACCCCATTTCTGTGGCATCCTCCACATAGGAAGCCACTCAGTGTCTCCCAGCTTTCCCTGGTATTTCCACATGGACATGCAGCAGTGACAGAATGACAGTTTTATAACTCAGTCTTTCAATTATGATCTCTTTGATTGATGTCCCTCTGATGGAGTTACCCAGATAGGAGACACATCAGGTGTAGCTGAACTGTGCTGGAGAAATCCTCCTGCACCAACTGAAGTACAGTGTATGGACACTTCTAGCCTCAAATGTGTGGGGTCAGATGTGTTTCACTGATGTTCAAACCACCATCCTTTTTGCCGAGGAAAACATAGTTCGTTATTGTGGCTCAGCTGACGCACATGCCCTTGTTCCTCCCAAGGACTGAGATCTGTGTCTGAGTCCTGATTGGGCAGGACACAACCTCAAACTGTCTAAATGTCTGAGATGATGTTTTATTGATTTCCTCTTGCACAGCAGCTGTACAGCTGGAGGGAAGTGACAGCACTCTGTGCAATTTGTTGCACAAGAGCTCTGGGTGATGGCACTGTTGCCTCCTCACAGACAACCGTTGTTTTTGTGTTTGGCCTTGACACATAACACATGCTAGGTCTGTGGGCCAGCACCAAATTTTCTTTAAAACACCTTGCAGGACAGAGCTATGGGTGCAAGCACAAATGCTGCTCTTGCAAATTCCTCAGTCATGTCTTAAACTTGAGCAGCTGTGCTCCCATTTTTGCCCCTCATTATATTAGATAGCAGGTTGATGATTCTCCAGGATTTTCTCCACAAACCCTTTAGATTAAACATGTGCATTGCTACACACAAGGAGACTTCCTTATCAGCCTTTTCTGGATCTGTGCTTGTCCCTTCTGGACATCTGCTCAAGAGAGTCACTGAAAACTTCCCAAGTGCTCAGGCCCTAGAAGCACTGGACACACACCTGTATCATTAGGATAAACATTGCCTGTAATCTAATATCTCACTTTTACCTGCACTAGTTCTGTTCAACTAACCTGATTCCAGGATGAAATTTCAAGTACTTGTATCACTTTTTGATCCAATGCCAGTTGTCTGTTTGTCGTGTCTTTTTCAAAGCAACCAGCTGAGGTCTTTTTCCTGATGACACCTTCCTTCACTGATCTTCTACACAAACCTAGCCCTTCAAGCTCTGCTTTCTCTCAGTCCAGAAGAAAGTTCAGTGTCCCAGAAACAGTGGTCCTTTTGGTCTCTAGTTATTCATGCATTCTGTAGTATTTTCATCTCCCTAGTTACAAAATTTCAGTGAAACACCAACAACTAGAGATGCACTTATTCAGCCATAGTTTTCAAGCATCCAGGGGCTGTGATTAGTCTCCTCTATGAGACATCTGAATGAAACACCAGACCACCAGGTGCTGATCAAATCAAAGCTGATCCTTTCTGTCTTAACTGTCTTAACAAGTACTTCATAGGGAATAGACCCAACACAGCTGCCTCCTTACAGGTAGACATCCTCTGGGACTCTTGTTCCCAACTATGCAGGAGATACCAGGTACAAGACGTGTATTGCACAGCAGCCTTGGAGATCATCAAGGTCCCAGCTCCTGGGCAGCTGTGTGATGGATTGTGGTGCTTCTCCTGTGTAGCTGGTACCTCTGTGCGGGCACTGCCTTGGGAAAACAGGTCTGGTCCTTTGTGTCCCCTGCCTTGACAATAGAAAGTGAGCCACCTGTGATACTTCTGCATCACTTCTTGTCCCTGGCCACAGCACAGTTCTCCAGAAAGACAGCAAAAAGACAGTTATACAGGAGAACTCTAGCAGTAGCAGGACCTGTTCTGTAATGCCATGGGCAAGTGACCAATAAGTAATTTCAGAAACAGCTATTTGCTCAGTGGGAGGTTTCAGTCCCTTGGATCATGCAGTGGGAGACTCCCACACCTCAGGATGAGCTCAAAGATTTTCCCTGTTCTGTAAAGGAAATACACAGTGGGAAAGAGATGAGAAACAACATACAGAAAGTTGTAGGGTTTTGTATGCATCTTGAGTAAATAAATGTGTCACTTCATCTTTAAAGAGTGGAGAACTTTATAGCATCTAAGTTCAATTCACAGCTCTGGACACAAGAATATATAAGCTAGACAGAATTTAAATGTAATAAATTTATATAAGGAAAAGAGAATCCAAATTCCTTGACTCACATCCATCTGTAGTAATGTATACATTTAATGTAAAACAAAGATTTTAAAAGTTCTTCCCTGCTTTCAGCTAGCTGCTGGACTTCAAGATCTTCTGCTTCACATGTACAAGGTGCTTATTAAAAGGTAGTCAGTCTTATAAAATTAAAAAGGAACCTCCAAGCAAGTCTGACAGTAAAAGTACATGTTTCTAATGAACAAAAAAACAATACCTAAACCAAAAAACCTGCTGATAAGACTGACTAAAATAGAAAAGGGCATATCTCGATGTGACTTACCACCAGAAGCATTTCTGTCATAAAGCAAAGGCTTGGTTTGTGTGTGTTTACACCTTTAAAGTCTTTGGTATCAAGTTCTATATGGGAGTTGTCTCATTATTTACTGTGAGAAAACATCAGAGACTTGAAGAGTAAGCCACAAACTGCTATTTTTGAAATTCTTGTGGTGTATTATTTCCCATTTGACCTTTTCTTGAGGTACTCTTGACCTTAGGTCTATGCACTCATTAGTCCTGGAGTCTAATGTCAATCTCCCCATGTCTATACTTCTGAAGATTCCTTTGGAGTTATAGAAGTGTTTCAAGACTATACTTTTTTTGAACAAAAGTACATCACTTCTGCCTTGAATTTCAGCTGGGGATGGAGTTCAAAATAATACATGGATTTTGTGATACCTCTGTAAATACATGTACCATATACATACGTGTATGCTATACATGACTCTAGTGACTGCAAAATTTTCTGCTGCTGGTTAACATACTTTGGGTTGGAAGAAAGAGAAAGTAAGATCTATAATTTTATTTTGTAAATAGACAGGTTTGGGTAAGCCAAGGAAGAGCTGTGGTCTCCAAGATTCACCTGTGGGGTGAATATTTCAAGGCCTGCCAGTTTAAATCTCATTAATTCTTCTGACTGCCTCATGCCAATCACTGGATAGGAGGTTTTCACGGAAAAGCATCAAGACTGTGTCCTTTGTGTAGACAGTATTTTGTTGCTTCTAGCCACATGATTTGAAGGGCTCATTACAAAGACAGAATATCTTAAGAGCTGTCTTGTTCTCTGCTGTTGTCAATAGCATTCACACACCACAGATCATTCTGCTCAAACCTTCACCAGTTGCACCCAGACTTCAGATGGAAATTAAACAGCTTTGTTCCAGCTGATGACTCTATCATCTCAAACAACTGTTTCCAATTTCCAGACTGCTGGAAGACACAATGAGAAGCAATGAGGTTTGGGACATAAACTTCACAAGAAAATATCTGACTATGAGAGTAGTCAGGCTCTGCAATGACAGGGGCTAGATTAGAGGAAGCCCAAGTACCAGTAGTGCTACTGTTGTCATCTTGATGAAGGCAAATTTTCAAGTCATTACCTAGAAGCGGTGACTTGGTAAAGAAGATTAATGCAGAGATTACTGTCTTTGTCTCTTAATAAAGAAAGTGGAAAGCATAGTTATGTATGTAAAGGCAGAGGAGGGTCATGCAGGAACCTAAGGCAGGAGGAAGATGAGACTGCTGGTGAGACTGTGACTGTGTGCAACTGTTGTGCAAATCTTCTATGTGTGGCTCAGTTGTTGTGCAAAGCTCCTGTGTGTGCTTCAGTTACAGTGGAGGTTTGGTCTTCCCATGATTATCTATGCCTTAGTGAGGAACTTCTATAGAAGGAAAAAGTGAGAGATTGTCTGTTTGCTACTCTTTAATCATTCTTTGGGAAATTATAGAATAATAGTTCTTTGGAGAATATGGAGCACTTATTTTGAATGACATATTTTCCATACATAAATATTCAGGAGCAATTTGAGATGTAAAAGCAACAAGTGCAAATGAGTTCACTATACTGAAATGTCACTGAGGATTGCAGTGATGACTCCATCCCAGTTCGAAGCAGGTCATTAGCATTGCTTTTATCACAGGACTGATCCTTATGGGGGCCTGAATATCTGTCCTTACAAGATCCAGGGAATGGAACTTCTTTCCATGCCACACAAGTATGTGCAGATGTGGTCATGCAAAAGCCAGAGATGCCATGCACTATAATTGATCTTATATTCAGAAAAAAACATACAGTGAAACCTTAATATAACTTCAGAGCTTTTTGTTTTGTTTTGTTTGTTGTATTTTTGTTTGTTTGTTTTTGTTTATTTTTTGTGAAAACAAGCAAAAACTCACTACAAAATTAAACTATATTTGCAGGTCATACTGTGCTATGAAAAAGTGTGGAAGACTCTTTGGCTGTACCTGTTGAAGGGGCTGACAGCCCTTCTCTGGGAAGTGGTTTGATTGCACCAAAGTTAAAACTTCCCTGGCATGTCTTTTGTCCTCACTCAGGAGACTCAGGTGTGCACATAGTCATGGTGTTGCTTTAGATGCAGACTCTTACAACCATTTATTAAAGAATAAAACACTCCTACAAGCATGAAGTTATTACAGCCTCAATCCAGAACAATAATTCATCCTCCAAGAAAAATAAGCTAAATATATAATTAAACTTCCCAATGTGTTCCCCAGCATGCCAATACCTAGATCATTTGTTGTTCTTCATAATTTGGTGATGACTCCATGACACATTATGTGTATGAATTACATACTCCATACAATCTGTGTGTATGAATTGCGAAACACTGTATGACGATGAACAGGTGTATGAGGAACCTGACAAGAATCAGCCCTATGCACAGTCTTCAATACTTTCTCAGTGATAATTTCATTTTGAGGCACATCAATAAGTTGATTTTTAATCCCTTTATTACAATCCCCATAAATTTTATAATTCAAGTGTTTTAAATCAAATTGTCATGGAGGATGCCTTGCAGATGTCAACAATTGTATGAATACAGTTACCTGTCAACCAGACTCACAGTCATATCAAACAAGATTGTTGCCTTTCTTTGATGACCTGAATTCCATGAAAATGTAAGTTACATGCACTTTCACAATTTGTAACATGTTAGTTCAGAACTAAGTAATAAAAAATTAAATAAGAAAATACTCTGTTCTGATAAGGTCAAAAATTAATCCAAGCTATTAATTTTTCATTTTTCTAAGTGTTTTCTTACTGAAATAGATATGTTTCACCTAATTTCATTCAACATTTCATCTAAACATATCAGAGCATAATTTTTTACATTGCATTTACATTTACATTTATATTTATATTTTTTACATTTACATTGCTCTCTTTGATCTTTTTTGACCAGCTGTGAAACCAAAGCTCTTACTACTAATAATTTTCTAACAATTATGTCATCAGTATTGTCAATTGCCTTGTAAGTCATCCCTATGAGGCTGACAGCACACAGGCTGTATATCACAATGTTCTCAGGACAGATGTATAGCTAAGTCTTTTTATGCTATCAACACTATTTAATATGCTGTGTATGTAGATCCAACAGACACAATCTTTACATGACCCATATTGGGCAGCAGTAACTTAACAGCAAGCTGACAGAAATGAGCCAGGGACAGAAATCCTTAATCACCCACACAGCCCACTCCCTATGTCTATGATTCTTGAATTTTTACCTAGGAGTAAACTAGTCCAGTGAATGTGGGGAGAGGAATGAAGTGAAATTTTCTAGCAATGCCATAGTTCAGAGGAAGAGGAGGAAGTGCATGCTTGAAGATCAGGAGTATACAGGGACATCAGTGGTCCAGGACCCATATAGTGATAGGGGTATAGGAGATGTGGCACAGAGAATTCACCCAGCTTTACTTGCTGGAAGTGAAGCAAACACTCAGCTGGTGCTGCATTCCTGTTCCAGTGCTTCACGTTCAGGTGCATAGCAGAGCTTGGGTGTACATTGGCAGTGCTGTTTATTTACACTGTTCTTTCATTTAATTTACTTCTAGTCTTGCAATGGAAAGCCTGACATTCAGCCTTAATTAATATGAGTTTTATTTATGTCACCCCTGAAGTCTGTCCCTGAATATGAGAGCAAGGTAAAGAGGGAAGGAATTGAGAAATATACTGAAATGGCATAATAACTCCAAAAAAACACATACAACCCACTTCAGATATATTTTAGAGACTTGCTGTCATACCACAATGGTATGATTTTGGAATTTCCAATTTGTAAGCATGAGGCCAGCCTTTCAATCCTGCCCACCATCAGATGGTCACAGGGAAACAAGTGGGACACCAGGTCTGAGTATAAGGTTGTCAGCACAAGACCAAGGCACTGGCACACACAAGCATTTTTGCTCTTATCATCCTCCTTCAATTATAGCTCTAAGTACCTGGTATGGTCCAGACTTCTGCTGCCTCCAAAACAAAAATTGCTTTTTCACTCAGTCACAGAAACTAGTACACTAGTATATTAGGAAGAAAAAGCTGATTGCCCCTAGATAATGGGATTTCACATACCATACACACACACACATATATATATATATATATACACATACACAGTATGTGTGTTTATGTGTAAACAAGTAGCTGCCCTTCGTACCTTGTGGTCACATAGTAATGTGACCAAATAATTTTAAGTACTGACATCTGAAGGCAATTGTGATTGTGTCTGCCTAGGAAAAAGCAGCAGTGACTGGCCCTGAAGCTGGTGACACTAAACCTATTTTGCTAGGCCCTCACCCCAAATCAATCACCTTCACAGGCCTGTGGAGTCCTGGACTGTACATAATTATTTTACCCACACACGTTTGTTAAAAAAAAAAATCTGTGAAAGAGTAACTTGCCCTTGGAAGCTTGACACCAGCTCAGGTGCCCCACAGCCACGTGAGGCTGGTGCAGGACACGAGGACAATGCTACCTCTATGCTCTATGCTACCTCTGTGCTACCACAGTGCTCTATGCTTGTGACACCAAATAGAAATGTGCTTTGCAACCTCACACCTTGTCTGCATGCAATTTGAGTTGCAGGATGAGCTGGTGGGGCACAGATCCATCACTCAGACCCGCAGGGTTGCCTGGCTTCCCCTCAGTTCAGTCCTTGGAGGTTACTTTCAGCCTGATGGCAAACAGCGCCCTGAAATCTGCCCAGCCCCTGGCTCATGAGCTCAAGCTGCTGCCAGTGAGGAAAGGCGTCACTACTCTAGTGGGAAACAGTGTCACTACACCATATCTGCACTAACACTATACAGGGAAGATAAAAAATGGGCATAGGGTGGGATTCAGCAGCAGATACAATATCCTTTGCAAAGTGAGCTTTGTTGCTGAGACAGTCTATCAACTTCTTGCTCTCAAGTTGAAACTGATGCAAATGTTCTATTTCCCTGTTATAAAAGACACCTCAATCTACATTGATTGAAACAGCATTTTACAGGTCAAAATTAAATTTCAGTTTAAACCAAACCATCAGCAACAACAGTCTCTTAGTCCATGCATGTATTCCCTGGTACAAGGGCAGCCAAACCAGGTGGTTCTGATTGAGGAGGGAGGTTGAACTAGATGACCTGCTGTGGTCCCTTCAAACCTTAGCCATTCTGTGATTCTGTGGTTCACTGGGCTCAGTTTGGTTACCTGGAGCTAATGAAGTGTGCTGGCACTTCATCATAAAACCAGGGACAGTGTATATACTCCCCATCTTCCAAAGCATCAGGAAGAGAGCCCTGAAAAGCTCTCTGAGGCTGGGCAGAGGTTTGCTATCCGGATGTGTCTGACAGTTCCCAGCTGACAGGGCTGCAGGGACAGTCTGCAACTGGCTGCCTAGAAAGAAAGCCCTACTGCACTATGCTATTTAAGGCTTCTTCATTTAACAAAACCTTTGTAGCCAGTTTTGCAGAAAAGCCAGGCTGGCAATGTTCATCAAAGTCACCACAGCCTGTGCAGGGCTCTATTCCAAACAGTTTCTGATAGCTTTGGATCTCATGTCTGTACCAAATAAACTTTGCTGATTTTGAAATAGTTGGAATTGTTGACTTACATAAGGACATATTCATTGTCATACATCCCCAACGATAAATAACCAGACTGCTGCCCTCAAAGGAGATGGACACAGCACTGCATACATTGTTTCTATTAACACCAGCTTGAGATTTTCCAGTCGATTTTCTTTTCCTTCAGAAAACACTGATCAGATAAAATGAAAAAGACAATAAAAAATTATTTGGTCATTGGTTATAATTTTCAGTGGAAAACTAGTAATCCTTTTATGTGATAGTCCCATGTGATTTATGTTGCATTTTATTTTCACCTAAAAGTTAAGCAATAAAAAAATCAAACCAAGATGTTTCGGTTTAATCAAAATAAGATATAGGGTCCTTTTCCAAATAATATATTTAATGTAAAGTCATTCTTAGCATTTCCAAAATTAAATATGCAAAGTACTTAATTTCGTAGTAAATGACAACCTTTTGAATTTTGATGTCGAGCATGGACAAAAGGTATGACTAAGGAGCTGAAACTTCTTATGTAGATTTTTTTTTTCTGGATTGAAAATGCAATGCAAAAAGCTGTAATGCAACAAGTTGTAACTAGGTAAAGTAAATAATTACTCATAAATATTTTGCAAAGAAGATTAACAGGGCTTTCCCAGGACTAGAGGAAGTTAGGGGCAATAGGTCATGAGTACAAAACAGCTACTTAAAACATCTTGTTTCACTATCTAGATGGCAGAGATAGCAATGGGGAAAATAATTTCATTCCCTGTAAAACTGAATTCTTGAGGAACAAGAACTGCCTCTCAGCACAGAGATTACATGTATCATTATGTGATGCACAACCATCACAGGGGAAGAGGAATAATTCAGAGTTCAGTGTAAAGCAGACCAGCAATCTCATGCTGGCCTAGTATTCTCTTGTCCACTAAAGCATTAAAACACTCCCTTTTAATCTCTTTTTTGTTGTTGCTGTTGTTTTTCCAAAGAGCATGGCTCAACTGAGGGGAGAATCCAGCCTTGTCAGAAGGAAGAATTCTTAAATAATTCGTAGGTCCTTTGGAAAATTATTGGTAGCTTGAAATAAGAATATTCCAGGGGAATTTAGACATTCTTTCACCTTGGCTATTTTTTTATTGTTAGCTTTAGGATCTGTTTGCTCGTTCTTTACAATTGTGAAAACATCTGACTCTTGTACACAGGTATTCAATGGAAATAAACATCTATCCTTTGGTTTCAATATCTCAGCAAATATTTAAGATTATTTCATTTCATTTGAAGCAGACATTGGGGGCTTTTAGACTTCTATGGCTGAGACACAAACAAAAAATGGTCCCTAACTCCTGCTGCAACACCTTGGAAATGGAGGCCTGCTCATTGCACTTCTTGAAAGGAGAGAGGAAAATATTTTAGTGAGTTTAAAGAGCTGTGCCCTGTTTGAAAAACTTCCTTTTGCTGGTATTTTAATATCAGCAGATCTGGGAAGTTTTCTTAGGTACTGTCTGGCTCCATTTTGATCTACCCAGAACTGGCTTTATCTCCCAAGTGGTATTTGCACTGTGTCTACACCAGGGTGAAAGAAGTTCACAGTGCTGAGCACCCAGCCATCCCTTAAAGCAACTCAGTCTTATCTCTGCATTTGTGTCACAGTTAATTCTCAAAGACTCGTGCAATAATGAGTTTAATATCTACTTTCATTATGTAAATAGTTAATTTGCCTTTCTCTGCTAGCATCGCCTACATTGGTGGTAGGCATCCAGCTGGCAACAGAGATCATCTAGTGAAACCATTTTACAGAGACTTGTAGAACTGCAGCACCATCACTCCCATTACCCAACAGCCCTCATCAGGGTGGAGATGTTGATGATGAAACATGATTACACAAAGAAAATCCTCAGTGGACTCAGCAGTCAAAACTGTAAGTGAGATAAATACCTGGGACCTATATGCTGACTGACTCTGCACGTCCAAATTTAGATCTCAGTTTAAATGACTGAACTTTAAGGAAGTGCACAAGGAAGCACATTCCTGACCTTTTGCTTTGGGTGCCCCATATTGTTGGACATGGCACAGGTCTGGCCAAGACCATCTATCTCTATGGCATAC